ACAACAACAACTACTATTACTACTACTACTACTACTACTACTACTACTACTACTAGTAGCAGTAGTAGTAGTACGGTAGTACTAGTACTGGTACTAGTACTACTGCTACTACTACTACTACCACCACCACCACCACCACCACCATAACCACACGACTATTACTGCTACTATTATTCTTCTTCTTGTTGTTATTATTGTTTCTATTACTACTACCACATCTACTGCTACTACTACTACTACTACTACTTCAATTACTACTACCGCTACCACCAGTACCATCACCACCACCACCACCACCACCACCACGACTACTGCTACTATTTCTCCTCCTACTACTACTGCTGCTACTACTACTACTGCTGCTGCTGCTACTACTACGACGACGACGACTACTACTACTACTACCACTACCACTACTACTACTCCTCCTCCTCCTCCTACTACTACTACTACGACTACTACGACTACTACTACTACTACTACAGCTGGGATCTGTGCCTGGTTTCAAACTGCTACTGCTCCTTCCGCTGCTGCTGCTGCCCCTTCTCCTACTCCTCCTGCTCCCGCTCCTACTACGGCGACGACGACTACTATTGCTAATTACTCTAGCATGTCTATGCAAACCCTCAAACCTATCAGGCGATGAGCATCTACGTGGTCTTCCAATTTAAGCAGGACTTGGGTTTAGTGTTTAGGATCTGGCCTTTTCCCAATCCAAGTTGCCAAGAAGGTCCACGGATTTTTACGCTTAAGGGTTTAGGGCTTTGGGGCTTGTAAAGAGTTTCGTCCCGGCTTTCGAATTGTATCAGCCCCAGATTCCTGGTAGTAGTAGTAGTAGTAGCAGTGGCAGTAGTAGTAGTAGTAGTGGTAGTAGTAGTTTAGCTTTCATGGCTTGGTCAAGTGCTAAACGACGTAGCCACGCAGCGCCTTTGTTCCTATAAGTCCTCTAGCCACCATCCTGGAGTCCGCACTGGCTTCTACAGCCGCTCGTTTAGGGGTTTAGGGGTTTAGGGTTTATGGGTTTAGGGGCTTAGGGGTTTAGGGTTTAGGGGTTTAGGGTTTAGGTGTTTAGGGTTTAGGGGTTGGTGGCTCGAAGGATACACGCCGAGCAATTACTTGCACAAGTGGACGCCACCACCTTACACCACGAAAGAGAGCCCGTCGTCAGTAGGACTGGACCACGTTGCAATGTAAATGGGGTGTACCTGGAGGTTCATGGGTAGTTATAACTAGGGTTATAAGTAGGGTAACTATAATTATAACCCATATTAGGGGACTTATAACTCCACTTATAACTACCCATGAACCTCCCAGTAGGGCCACCATAATCCCCAAACGTGAGCGAGTCTCCTGCGGAGAAGGGCCGTCCCTGCAAGGACTTAAAGCTTTTCAGGGAGGCGCTCGACTGCGTTGGCCGTGCCCTCAGTCCACACAACCGTACCTGCTGCCAGACCCCACACGCTGTAGAATGTTGCATAAGTTAGGTCATAGTTAAAGATCTCTATATATATATATACATATACATATACATCTATATATATATATATGAGATGTGCAGGTTTGTGTAGATAGGTGGATGGCTAGATAGATTCCGAAGATCGTATGACAGCTGAGTAGCAGCTCTGAGCCAAGACGTGGCTCCATCAGTTCGTGCGTTTGCGACTTGGCAGATGCTTCTCCAGGTCAGATGTGCAATGCTCTGTAAAAATGCAGTCTAACCACTAATATATAGGTCTGAACATTCATTAACAGTACAGCACCTTCTCTCAGTTTCCCTGTATAGTTACATATGCTCTAAAAGATCCCATAGCCGCCCAAACCCTATTCTAATTATTCTACAAGGCCACTGGATTACACCGTAGACGGCGCATGGATCAGACCGCACTCCGCTCGAAAGTGTCCAGGCTACTGGCTACTATATCCTGACAGTTCTCAAAGGGTCGTCTGAGTCCGGCTTTGGGTTGAGGGTTTGGGGAATGCCTGGGAGAGAGAGAGAGAGAGAGAGAGAGAGAGACAGAGACAGAGACAGAGACAGAGACAGAGACAGAGACAGAGACAGGGAGGGAGTAGGAACTCCGGCTTAGGGGTTTGCACGGGGTTTAAGGTTTACCTAGACCTAGCAGGAGCACAATGCCCCTAATCCTTTCATTCTTTATCGAGGCACTTGTCAATCTCCTTAAGCTGATATGAAACGCTAATGAGCGAAGGAGTCCGTTGCCCCCAAACCCTAGATCGTGAAACCCCTAACATAACTAAGGGCAAAGAAGACTTGTGTTACTGAATCCTCAAAACCCCAGAGGCTTCCCTAAACCCCCAGAGGCCCTAACCGAACCCCCTGCAGCCCCTGGCACTCCGGAACTCTGGGTGCCCATCATTGCCGCAGAGCCCAAGAAGGGTTGGCCGGGGCGCCTCAGAACAGTTCAGGGCTTTTAGGAATCTCGGGATTAAGATTCGGAGGTGGAGGCGCATAGGGTCGTTCAGTCTTTGCTCTGACTTTTTGTTGATTGTGCATGTCCTTGTCTATGGGTTTAGGGTTCGGTTTTCTTATGGAATCAGTTTGGGTTGCGGGTTCTGGAGTTTTAGGATTCAGGGTTTTGATATCCTGCGGTTTCTATGTTTCGAAACTTCGGGCATCTAGTTTACGATTTCAGAATTTTGTGTTGTGGGTTGTTACTCGTAGGGCTTGGAGCTTCGGTTCAGGCCTCTTGGTTTCAAAGACTCAGGGCATTTTACGTTTGAGTTACTTGGGCCAGGCTTTGGGTGCATCCTTTCCGGGGTTTGCGGTGGTGGGTGTCTGTGAACTTGGTGCTCCTGGTGTCCAGCTGTGCTCCATGCGGTTTGCCCCAAGTGCTGTATCTAGACCCTTGATCGTTAGCCCCACGCCTCCTGCTATTCCATCAGTCCCTACTGCCCCACCTATCAGGTTCGACCTGGGATGGAACCAAAACAAATCCCAACAAACCTACCACCATGGGTCATGGCCTGCCTGGGCTGCAGGTATACCTTGACCTACTAAAACACGGCAAATACAACAAAGCCCCCAAGCTCCCTAGTCACCTAGTCGTTTAAACCCGGCCGATTACCAACTGCCTAAACCCCCAAAACCTAGATTCCCTAAATGCTGCTTCCTAGACTATATCTAAAATCCTGATTTCCTTCCAAGATTTGTCAGAAGTGATGAACCCTCTGCTTGTTTAGGCACAGTTTCTTCTCGGAGATTTTGGAATTCCGGGTTTGGGCCACCGCGCTTCAGCCCTGAAGCTCGCAGGCCCTGTTCCCAGGCCACCAGGTTCGTAGTGCTCTACTTGAGGTTATACGTACTATTTTGGGGTTCCTTAGTATAAGTATACTATATATTATATGGGGCCCCAAAACCCTATACATGGTTCCTTATTATAAGTATACTATATATGGGGCCCCAAAACCCTATTCATAAGAAACACTTCGGCCGAGGATGAAGGCGGTGGGCTTGGGAAACCAGCATAGGCCTCAGGCAGGGTTGACTTTGGTGGTTTGGAGTGGTTTTGGGGCTTTCGGGAATGAAAATGTGTGTGTGTGTGTGGGTGGGTGGGGGGTTAGATCTTTAGGGTTCAGGGCTGAGGTGCTTATGCTGGTGTTGGACAGTCAGCGTGTGTGTACGTATCTGTTTATTCGCTGCTTTCGTTCAGATATTTATCCATCGTCGTACACTCACTGCAACGGCACGAAAACCGTGTGTTAGTGCAACACCTGAGGTTCATCGCGGCCTTCAAGAAGTATTGGGGTGCGCTCCCGAGGTTGAGACTGCCCCAGCTGAGCAGTCAGGATCCGGGGTAGTTGCTCGATACTGAGCCGTGCTCCGTTCGAGAACCGACACGTCGAAGCTCCAGTGCTTTGCTTTCTGTACTACACTACCATCCCTTAGCCTTCCCTGATGTACTTCTAATGGTAGAATGTGGTTTTTACCTTGAAGCCTATTCTATCAAAAAAGGCCCCTACATTACCCTAAATCCCAGAACGACCATGCCCGCACAACAAATCTTTAGGGTTTCGGGATAATGTCAGAGCGCACGCTGCCATTTGGCCCCTGGTTCTGCACTTCTCCTGCGACAGGTTGGGGCCTGGACTCTTCCTGTTGTGCAGCCCAAGCACATGCCGTTATCTAGCCGGGGGCATAAAGGCAAATCAGGCATCAGAGTTCTGTGAGAGTTTACCGGTCCAAGTGTTTCCACTTGTAGTGGGAAAGGCTCGACATCTCCAACGGGTTGAATCAGGCTTGGCGGAGATTTGAGTTTTCGGCTGTAGACCCTCCCACGTCTTGGAGCCATGGACGGTGCGCCAGTGCCTCTGGACGGAAGTGAGGCCACTGGTTCATGATCTAGGGCTCGGGTAGTCTCATGTCGTCGCTTGGCTTTAAAAACGTCATGGTCGTTCCTCCAACCTGTGTCCGTCATCATTGCAACATCGAACATGGCATCAACACTTCCGCCGCCACTCCAAGGCATCATCAACAGCATCGCAATCGTTACCATCGGCAGCAGCAACACCATTATCAACATAAGCATCATCATCATCAACAACATCAATATCAGCAGCAACAACTTGGCAACAACAAGCCAACGTCGCCGCCACCATCTGCATCATCGTCAGCAGGAACATCGTCGGCATCGTTTGTGTGCCGGAAGCCTTCTCGGACTGCTAACCTTAAGGTGGAGAGCACTTAACACGCTGTCTGGCTGCGCTTTCAACATCGGTGGTCAGGCTCCAACACAAGGCACAACCACGTTATTTCGCTAGAAATTCTTCAAGAATCTCTTTTGTGTTAGTTTATTTGCAGAGGCGTTTGTGACCTACGGTCGTGGTCTCCTGCGCCTGGGCGTGATAATTGCAAGTCCGGATTGCCAGGAGTCGGGGTCGATGCTGCTTAGGGCTTAGGGCTCTATGCTCTGGCTTCTTGAGATGGTTTTACCTTTGAGAAGTTGCTGGTAGCTTCCTGTGGGTGGTGTTTGTGACAGGTTGTGTTCGACGCCCCTGCTGTTTAGCTGATAAAGCTACGCCAAGCAATGCAGCCAACACATTAGACCTATCACAGCTGTTAGGTTTCTCTCCTTCATGTTAAACCTATCCGAACACAGCCAGATCGAAGCACCGGCCCTACCAACCCGGGTACAGGAAGGTCTTCAATGCCGCGAAGAACTTCGGCTTCATCTCCCCAGTCTTCAAAGGCTGGAAGACCTACTGCTTTACATTGCGTTAAGTTTCTTAGCAGCACATCGCATTGTGTGTTTACGTTACTTTACCATCACATCAAATGACGTGACACTACTACATGTACACACACACACATACCTACATTATACATGCATACATACATACATACATACAGTCATACAGGCATGCATACATGCAGGCATGCAAGCAGACCTGTGTATGTACGTGCAGACAAAAAGCATGCACATACGTCCCGTGCATACTTGGACACATTCATGCATGCCGACCTTTACACATAATTTGTACACGTTTTGTGTATATGTATACAGTTGTCATATATATATATAGAGAGAGAGATACACACAAACACACGTATATACAGAGAGAGAGAGAGATAGACAGTAGCAGCAGAATCGTCGAATACGGATATGAGGCTCAGACGTATACAAATAGCTTCTCGCCAGCTGCAGGTGCAGCGGATGTCGAAGGCCCGCCTCTTCCGCGATCGGTAGACGAGGGCATCTGGCCGCCAGTCGGCAAGGAAGACCGACGAGTTTGCGGCCGTCTTTGCTCTTTAGGGTTTGTAAGGATAATTTAGGTTTTAGGATTTGGAGATTTAGAGGTCTTTAGGGTCTAGGTCTAGATTTTGGGGATTGAGGGTATTCGGGTTTAGCGCATTCGGGTTTAGGGTATCCGGCTTGAGGGTTTTAGGGATTGTTGGCCTTCGATTTCGGTGCCGCAGACTTCCTGTCGGGGTGAGCTATTTAGGGTTATGACAGTTTAAGATTTGTTATGCTAATTTTGAAGCTGCTGAACGAAGAACATACTAATAGTGCACGACCCTATAAACCTTAAACCCTTTGAAGCAGTGAGGCATGATCCCGCTGGTGTAGCAGCGAGGTGCCGGAACTGGACGTCCCCAAACTTAAACCATCCTCAAGCAGTTGAAAGGAGGTTGCTGCCATGCCTCTGGAAGTCATGAAGCTTTGCAAGGAGTGTCCGAATTTGGGACGGGCCAAAGCTTTGTCGTAAATCTGCAAAGAAAACTGGAGAGACGTTCCTGAGCCCTGAAGCGTGAACCCTGGGCCCTACAGCCCCAAACCCGAAACTTATGCCCAAATCCCGACACTGAGGTTCTTTGGGAACCATTCTCTCCCCTACCGTGCCATCCCGGGTGTTGAGCTGACTTTCGAGATTTGGGAGAACGCCTCTGGAAAAGCACAAGCCAGGCAGCTGGGAAGCAGTTGGGGTAGTTTGGACTTCCATGAGCAGCCTTTTTAAGGTCCTGTAAGTTGAGGGATTTCGGCTTTGGGGTTGGGAGCAAGGGCATTTGCGGTTTTCAGGTTCAAAGTTCAGCGTTTTGGGTAGCGGGTGGCAGAGCCTCGTTTCCGTTGGCTTTTCCGTGTAATGGGGAACAGATTTGCTATGCTGTCTTTCCAAAGTCCTTTAGTTAAGGTCGCCTCCCCCAGAAAAGACCACCTCGTGCAACCATGAAATGCTGATGCGGCTCATGGCGATGATGATGACTTCATTCAGAACTCATTCATGCTGAATGCGATGGAGATAATCAGGATAGTTATGAAGTTATAACAAGCATGATGGTCATGTTCATGGAGATGATGACCAGGATCATGACATTCACGTGGTTTGAATACGCAAAAGGAAGCTGGTGACATATGTATTGTTTTTAGAGTCTTCGAGCGGATGCGTCGTGAACTGCACTGAGTCTCGAACCCGTGATGGCATCCATGTTCCCAGAGCACGCGCGAATATCTATTCGGTTGAGCCACTGTGCACATCCCACTTTGCACACAGCTCAATCCGTACATTCCGCAGCACATTTGCCGTACATTTGTTTTTTTGGCACGGCCGGTCTTCACGCATTGTCTATACATCCTGCCTTATCTGCCCATCTTGCCTTGTTGCTTCGTTTCTGTTGAGCTGGGCGTGGTATCGTAGCCCAGGGTCCTTGCGCAGGAACGGAAATTATTTGGTTTCGGAATATTGATGGTCTTTAGGTAGGTCCCTCGCTCGAGGGGCATTTTGGGTACAATGCAAGACTAGACAATTGAAATGCATGCGGGTAGTTCTGTAAATAAGAGTTCCTTATCAGGTCCCAAAAATAGTACGGCACCCTTACAAAAAGGACCCGAAAAGGGAGCCTAATTTAGAGAACTAGTAATGTATTACTTTGGTGTTGAGACCCATATCCTAAGTCTCGCAGCAAGTGAATATTTATTTCGGATGCAAACAAGGATCCGAGTGTTGCCACAGCTCGCAAACCTGAGCAGTTTATGTTTTGCTCTTACCGCTTTTCACGTTTACACAAAGCCTGGCTGGCTAAGTGCTGCCGAGCATGGTGAGTCCGAAAATCTCTAGGCCCTACCTAGTCCTTTGTTGATAAGGGTCCTAATGCAAGTGAGCACAATCTGCAAAGACTTCGTTATCTACACGCAGCCTTGCCCTCTAAGTTTCATAAAGTGATCCACAAGAACCCAGATTGATACCGGAAGCAGGAGCGTCTCCATCGCCGCAGAGCCGAGTGCCGTCGTGCCGGTGGAGCAGAAGCAGGAGATCCAACATCAGCATCATCATCCGATGCCGGAGAAGGGCGGCCACCGGGACAACTACAGAAGCCCCAAGAGCCAAGAATCTTTATGTTGCTCCGAAACCTCGCCTGACCTGGTCGAGTGCGAGTGCTAAAATGTCGGGAAAGCAGGTTACCATATAGTACCTCGCCCTCTCGGACAAGAGTGTACCTACTTTAGCATAGGTTTGTCCGGGACAATGGATGAGAGTGAGTCAGTTTTATGATTCCAGTGGCGCAGGGTTCAAAGCCGAACTAATGTTTGGAGTTTGGAGTTCGACCTCATGGCACAGGGCTCAGGGTGGGTGAAAGCACAGTCTACAGGCTGAAGGTTTATCGGGGGTTCCGGACTCTTTCTGGTCTGCACACCTTTCAGGTGAAGCAGGTCTGGAGGTTCGGAATGATACCCGCCTCGGTTCCTATATCGGACGTTTTGTCTTTTTGAAGCCGGATTTCCAGATCATATGGCTAGGCTTCAGGGCAAGTTCAAAAAAGCGTATCCCAACGTTACCCGAAGCAGAAAGCATAATGTTAGCAGTGTCCAACCTACAACATTTCGCTCTGGCTGCCACAAACCAACACTATGCCTGCAGAAGCCGCATGCCGAGGTGGCAAAGGGAAGGGCTCTCAGCTACATCCGAACGAGCCGCGAGTGAGCCGTGGATGCCTTTGAGACTGTGGATTTCCAGCTCGAGTTTCGCGGCCCCTTTCACTTTCAAGGTTTTGGGTTTAATATCTCTTAACCCTAAACCTGTAACTGAGCCCTCAACCCTGCACCATAAAATCCTCTTCAGTATCCTTCCTAAGGATCTACCCTTCTGTCTATGTCTCCGACGTCCCCGTGGAGTGGAACGAGGCCACCAGCACCCCAGGAGCTCCAACCACAGACTCCAAACCCCACGGAGTCTGCCGGTTTGCTCATGGGACGGACAGTTTTCTGCGTAAGGTTATAGGTGGCACTTTGGGAAACTTTGAAGTGTGTTCGCTACTGTACGTTCCATTAGAGGTACCTATTCACAAATATTTTGAAGGGCCCGAAAGTACAACTCAGTCGAGCAGGGCCGGTACATACCAGAAAACACCCTGCTGAATCTGGTTGAATTCATGCTAAACCTTCACGCGCCCCCCTCCTTGTCATACTGTTGACTCAGTCTCCCACTTATCCTGGTAGGTGTTCCCAGGTTTGGGGGTTGGAATTCCCGAGGTCTGGTTCTAGTGTGCCACACAGTGAGCTTTGCTGTTTGTTTCAGTAGGCAAACGCTGTACAGCGCTTGAGTCCTGGTATCTCGGTTCTGTATGATGCTCCTTCAACCCAAGATGTGACACCCTTACGTTGACATGCTTTAGACTTCTTTTGTAGCGGGGAGCCCTACTTCATGAGTACCGTTGGTTTTTGTTTGCCCGACAGTTGTTGGGTACATGGTGTTCTTCTAGTCACGGATCTTGAGCCCTAAAGGCCGCACCCCAAAAACCTCAAGCCCTAAACCCTGAAGCCCTAAACTCCTAAACGCCTTAAACCTTAGATGGATGATGCTAAAAGGGACGGTGAACAACTGGCGAGATGCTGGGATGGCTCATGCACCCTCTGCCCGCGAAGAATCCATTGGTGCATCGCGCTTTGTCAGTTGAGGCGTACGGTATTGAGGCTTTCAGGGTTTAGGAATGTTTCGGGCTGTATTGCTTGGTGGTCTTCATTCTTAGTACTGCAGCATTTCTTTTGCGACAATCCAAACTCCTCGAGAACGCGGGGCTCGAGGCCCGAACGAGTTGTTGGCGGGCACCCCTCAAACTTAAAGAAAGCCTTGACTGGGGTGCACTTGCGACACGGCAGGCGGCCATCCGAAAGCTTCATCGTCAGCTGGGCTTAAACCCGGATACCATCATGGGCCTGAAGCTTGCGCAGTTTAGAGTTTGTCTGGTTTAGATGCTAGGGGCAAAGTTCGAGGGCTTGTATATGGGTCTGCGTGGAGAGAAGATCTGGGTGCTTCGAGGGTCAGTGATGGGCCTGTCGCCATGCTTTCGGGCATTTTAGGGCCATACGTCAGTGGTCGCATTCTGAGCGAACTCACGAGAGGGAGTTTTTGATCAGTCAGAATTGGCTTGTAGGAGGGCTCATGTATGTTATGCCGAAAATGCATGCATGTATGTCTCTGTGTGTGTGTGTGTATATGTATAAAGCTCTAATTCTCGCCACTGCCGATGCTCACTCAAATCGTTTGAGTTACTGGATTACGTGGTTTGTTTGTCAACACCGAAACCCTTTTTCCTGCCTTAAGATTATGACCTAGCCAAAGCCGCCATATACCGGCATCAATACTTCGCAATGTTCGTGTGCAGCCCAAGCAGTACATAGTTGATAATTACACCGCAGCTTGGATGTCAAGTTTTGCAACTTCGTTCCCTGGTTCTGGTGCTTCGATCCCACTCAGGGCTTACAGTCTCACGGGCCCAGGGTTTAAAACGCTCGGGTTTGGATGTTGTGCATCTGTCTAGCTCAGCGACTGCACCGGTGAATTTGGAATTTAACTTCAGGCTGACATCTCGGTGTGCCGCCTCTTTGCCATTCGTCCTCAAACGGCACCTCTTACGTAAATTTGCGCATTCAGGGTTCCTGACTAATGAAGGATCCCAGATTCAGGGTCTGTTTCTCTCGAACTCAACTTTATCGCAAACCTGAACAAAAAATAGGTGCCTTCTTTTTCCGCAACAGAGCACTGAGTCAGCCGGATCACCCAAGGAAGTTCTTGCCCTTTACGGAGGTGTCCCTGGGCTTGCCCCCGGACAGCAAACTTGGTCTAGGATTTTGGGTGTTGTGGTGAGATTTTAGGTTTCGGGCTCCTGGTCTAGAATTTAGGCTTCAGTGACGGAGAAGATTGACATATTTTGAAGCCACCTTCCAAGGGCATGTAGCTACTCAACCCTGCCGTCAGAGACCGGAGTACTATACACCCTGGGTAGAGCCGCAACACGTCGAGCCAATCCCTGAACCTCAGGGATGGGGTCGAAGGCATCAGTCGACGTGGCTTCAGATTTCGGACTGTCGCTGCAAGCTTTGTAAGAAGAATCCTGGAAGGCTTTTAACCAGGAAGATAGTCTCTCTTCCGTGTCCTGTTCAGGCTTAGGCTACAAGGAGAGCTTTGGACGACGGTGGCACCTACCAACTTCACAGGCATGCTCGTCTTCAAGCTAGTAGAGTACAAGGTCTGGCAGCAAGGGCGAGAAGCAAGCCACGCCAGTGACCGGGTCGGTCATCCTGCGCTACCTGCACCTTGGCCACGAGGAACAAAAATCTTGGGTTGCAGCTACAATACATATTCAGAAGGAGAGCAACCCCACAATGATGCAGCTTCGGGTTAAAAGCTCCGCACCCTAAACGTCTCATTAATTAACCTGAACCCCGAATTGCTAGACTATGCGATGGCTTGAGCTTTCTGATGGATTGAAGCGGTTGAGCTGCGCGTGCCTACCGTGACCCCGCCACCGATGTCATCGTTTCGCGCTAGGGAACTTGATTCTTGCATGGTGCTCGAGAGCTGGGTTTGTACTCATACTGCTGTTTCCAGGACAACTGTAGTCTGCGGTACTGTTTGCATGGTGCTTTCTTTTACGGTCTGCCGTGCCAGTAAGGGTTCTAGCTCTTTGGGCCCGAGATGCCACATCTCCGAGCAACCTGCACCTTTTCAAGAGTTGTGTGTCAAGTTTGTGTTCGATGTAAGAGGGGTAACGGTTGAGTTGCTTTTGTAATAGGTGTTGCTGTCGTTGCTGCTGCTCTTGTTGGTGCTGTTCCGAAGTTACGCGATTAATGTGTCTTGTCGACCTGAGCTGCAGAACACTCTAGCACACGTTGCACTAGCAGAAGCTCCAGCATTGGCAGGGCTAGGGGGTTTAAGGACAGCGGCTTCTGGGAACTCCTGTGATTCGCAAGGTGAAGTTTACATACTTGTTCGGAAGCTTGTCCAGCCAGAATAACAAGAAGGGCTGTTTTTGGGCTTGACTTCATCACGACGAAGCGCCGTGGCGACCAGCAACTACCTCTCAGGAACGAGGAAGCGGCCAACGCCGCCGTCGAGCGCTTGAAAGGCCATCCGATTCAGACGCTCCGAGGCTGAATTTTGGGTTTAGGGCCGTTTAGGGTTTAAGGTCTATAGGGTTTAGGTTTATGGTGTACGATGTCTGTCCGATTTCAGGCTTGTTCGCATTGTGCTGCATCGGTCACCTGAAACGCTACTTGACCTGCCAGGCAATTGAGATTTTCAACCCAACAAGGCGACACATAGACTAAAGGTATACTATACAGACTATACTGTGAGGTGGAGGAGAAGGAGGGGAAGGAGGAGGAAGGCAAAGGTCTTGTTGACCAGGCGGTCCACCCACCCACAGCGCAGCAACCCAGACACCACCCCAAGCTCGGGCTTCGACTTGAGAGCCTGAAGCAATGACTCTGGCTAGCCAAGGTCCGGAACTGGAAGTATGCAATAGGCAAGTTGAAAGCATCGGAATCTTAAGCCTTAAAACCTCCGACCCTGACTCTCTAAAAAGCCAGCGAGCCCTTGTAGCGAAGGTCCTCGGGTGTGACAAAGCACCTTGGTGCAAAGCATGCCACCCCACCGAAGTGGGTCGTCCAGAGGAAACAGCAGGCAACGGGCTTTCGCGCGGTTGTAAATTTCGAGCCCTCCACCCTAAACCCGGAACTCCTAATGTGGGGGGGGGGGGGGGGGGGGGCATTCTTAGGACCGGAAAGACATGGCTCAACTGCAAGGCTTGGGATACCCCCACCACCGGGTTCGTCCCCTAAACCCTAACCCGTTTATGTGCTTGAGAGCCCTTCTCTTTGTGTTCTTGCATGTCGGCCCGCAGCCCTCACACCCAGTGGCCCAACCCTCAACCTCAGAACCCTCAAATTCTAAACCAAACAGCGGCAAACTCAACCCTCAGCTACAGAAAGAGCGCAAACTCTTCCAAAACTTGAAAACTTCAAGCAAGCAGAACCAGAACCCCTCCCCCCAACAAAAAAACATCTAATGACTCCCGATCAATTCTTTCTAAAGCCAGCAAAAGTGTCTTATGGAGCCCCGACCTAGCCCCTGAAGCCCCAACCCCAAGCCTAAGAGAACCTGAAGCACCCAACCCCACGTTCCGATGCACCCTGAAACCTTAACTCCTAGAAACCGTAAGCCCTAGTTCCTCTAACGACCGCAGGAGGACGAGCAAAAGAAGATCACAGGAGGTGGTGGGGATAGCAGCACCTCAGCAGGTCCAAACATTTAAGAATTCTTGAAATTTGAAGGGTTCTATAAGGCTCTAGGAGGGTTCTAGAATCAGTGTTGTAAGGGCTTCTTCGGGTTTAGGACTTAGGGTTTAGGGTTTCATCACTTGTGTTTTCTTGGAGTTTTAGGTTTTAGGCTTCTTTTGCTGTAGGCCCCTCGTTTGGTTCCCAGCAGAGGCTTTTGCAGGCAGGAAGCACAAAAGGGGTTCTTTAGAGCCGTAGGGGCCTGTTCTTGACATAGTAGATAACCTGACCCTGCAGTCCCTATTCCTATATAACCCCTTGAGTCAAGAGTTCCGCTTCTTTGTGAATCCGAGGGCCAGGGCAAACCAAGTTGAGGCTCCCCCATACCGGGCAAAAAGCAACAAGCTAGACCAGATCCTGAAACAAGTCTCTCGCACCTTCCCCCCAACAGTTCAGAAACACCCACCAGTAAGACAGTATAAGGTAACCTAGGCTCGCCATTGCTGCGAGCGCGAGAGTCGAAAACTTGGTTCTTGACCTCGCCTGGCCTGTCCGAGTTGTGAGAGCGTAAATGCTATATAAGTTACCCTAAACCCTAAGCCGTCTCAGGCAAAGGCAAGAAGCTGAAGACGGAGGAGGGCCAAAGCCAGAAGGTCTCAGGCTCCGTGCATCGCGTCTCGATGGCGGGCTACGGTGCCACTGGGTTGCTCTTAGAGGTTCCTCAAGGGTGTAGGGTTTAGGGTTTGCTTATTCTACATGAATTGCTGTCTTTGTTTACGCGGGCACATAGAATATCATATGACATACCATGGCATATTGTATTACAGAAGAACTGGGACGGAATGGAAAACACTATAGTGCAGCAAATGATGCAACATGCAACATACCATAACTTGTCATAGTTCCATGCTATTACAGTATAATGCACAGGAGCAGATAATGTAGTTTAACTATATATACATATACACATGGTTGTTGGTCTATATGTACATATATATATATGTATATATATATGTATATATATACACATACACATGTGTATATACATATATACATACACACACCGAGGAGGCCGGGAGGCGGCTCCCAGATCCGTTAATGATTCAGAGTGCAGGGTCGGGAGCTGGCCAGCTTTGGGTTTTCTTTTCGCAGCCGAGAGAGTGAGAGACAGGACAGCGACGAGGAGAGATTTAGGGTTTGGGGTTTTAGGGAGAGCTCCAGGTACCTAAATACAGGGTTGCAGAATACTCTGAACGTAACCGGAGCCTTTCGGGCACATAAATGTACAATTGGGTATGCAGATGTTAATTTGTCGTGTCACTGTTCGCTGGTTTCAAGCTTTGTGCATGTTTGCCGGTTTAGGGCGTGCTGTTCACGGCTATCCGTTCCACGCCCAGGCCCCAAACCTTCATGCTCAGGTCATCAAATCGCCTGAGTGGGGTGAAGTTCTCTGGCGTCAGTATGAGCTGCCCACCAATCTGCGCTGCCTGCGCCTAGCTGGAAAGCTGAGTGTTTGGAATTATGAATTTGGGAGGCGATCCAGAATATTTAGTGTAATATGTTGTAACTGACCAGGGCCTACACAAAGAAGGGCAGCTCGGAAAGAGCCACTGGCCTGGCAGTCACATGCTCAAATCTTGTGTGTTCTGCAGTTGCTATCCGCGAGCCGAGGCAGTTCACAGACCGCGCCAAGTTTGTCTCGCAAGTGGAGCACCGGGAAGACTACCGCAGGCTGAAGGACAGGAGTTTTACGGTTTATAGGGTTTCAAACCCACTATAACCTAAGCCCCAGGTATTGACACATGTCTCGCCTTGATTGTCCGAGTTGTGAGCGCCGAAACCCTAACCCACAACTGAAAAAGGCGAAACTATAAACTCCAGAAAGCTCAAAGCCCGGAGTCGTGGCTTCAGGAGATGGTGGGGAAGCAGGTGCGAGCTTCCAACACGACACTTGCGGTTTTCGAGAGTTTGTTGGGTTTGTTCTGGGTTTCGAGTTTAGGGTGTATGGATGTTGGATGTTCATAGATGCTTCGGAAAAGCAGGGGTTAGGATTTTGAGGTTTTGCGTGTAGGGCGCCCCTTTCAGGCTCAGGGTTTTGAGGTTTTCGAGTTTTCGGCCAAAGTTTGGAGGTTTTGGGGTTTGAATTTGTGTGTGCTGATGTATGTATATACATACATACATACATACATACATGCATACATGCATACAGTTACATACGGTTACATACACATACACACATGTTTGGGTATGTGCAAATATCCATGTACATAGTTAGGTAGCAGATAAACCGCTCAGAGGGTAGATCGATAGCTGGATAGACATAGATAGATAGATTGACTGATTGATTGATTGATTAATGGGTTGGTGGGTTGGTTGGTTGGTTTGTTGGTTTGTTGGTTGGTTGGTTGGTTTGTTGGTTTGTTGGTTGGCTGGTAGGTCGGTCGGTTGGTTGCTTGGTTGCTTGATTGCTTGATTGCTTGATTCATTCATTCATTCATTCATTGACTGCTTGATTGGTTAGTTGATAAACAGATAGCGTTTTGGGCCTGGGTCTCAGGATATATCTACTTCCCTTTGCTGAACCATGTCGGCTCATGTGCGGCTGTCGATCAGTGACGAAACTTTTTGTCAAGTCCAGTCTTGAAGAGCGATATCTTTGGATTCGCTTGTACGGCCGAGCATGTCAAAAGCCCGCACCGAACCGCCGTAAAGGTCGTTGGAGCGCTGGTTCCCTCTATATACCGGCTAGCAAAGCTCGTAGGATTTATCTTTGGGGCTAGGGTTCCAGCTGTTGTGGTTCATGCCAATCTTCCACGCTGATCTTTAATTTGTTTGTGAATTTCGCAGGAAGGGAAGCCAAACCTCGAATTCCGAAATCTCCCCTCAAGCCACCCTGCCTCGAAACCTTCAAGTCATGTCCATGCCAAGGAGCCGGATCGACGCAACTGCAACCCTGAATCCCAAGCCCCCTCAACTCTACATAAATTAAAGCCCTAGGCACTAGCCGGAACTGTTTGCCAGCTCCATGTGCAGGTAGAGGCCGAACTCTACAAGCTACCGGATGGCCAAGTCCGTGCATCGCACGTCCTACGGCTGCAACGGTGCTTTCGGGGCTCGGTTTTGGAGCAAACCAGGATTTAGGGCTTCAGGTTTTTGCCGAGTTTAACACGGCGTTTAGGCGGAAAGTTCGTGTTATGCAAATGTATACAAACATGTATATACGGTCTGCGTAGTAGCGTTTTTCATGGTAGCGGCGTGCACTTCCGGGGGACGACGATGTGCAAACAACTTGCCAATGTACACGAGCCTTTATACACCGCGCGACATCTCCGCTCTGGCGCAGTCCGCGCAGCAAGTACTCAAACCCGAAGAACATGCTCGATTCTCCCATTCCCTCATCTGCTGTTTACTGTTATCATTTCCATTTATTTATCAGTAATTAGAGGATCCTTATGCTAACCTATATACAGATTCCCTTTAACAGCAACCTCTACTCGAGAACCCCAAGTAGAGCCTGAAGTTGAAGGTCCGAGCAGTTGCGCAGCATGCGCTGCCCGAAGCAAAGCCGGGTGACGATGCGACTTGGCAGTACTGCGGATAGATGGGGTTAGGGTTTAGGGTTTAGGATGGAGGGTTCAGGGTTATGAGTTAAGAGTTAGGGTTTCGGAGTCACAGGGTTCCAAGTTTATGTGTCATGGGTTTCGGGTGGGTGATGGGTTGCATGCATAGGTGTCTCGTCAGAAAGACCGTCGATGTCAAACGCATCGTTTTGCTTCACACACGATCACGCGTCGTGCCAACAACGAGATGGGTGTCACTGCTGGCCCGTGTCTCCCACTTCTACACCACACTGAGCAACTGCGAGGAAGCTAGGCTACGGAAGGTGCCGAGCCTGATGCTTCATAATTCCTGATTGGGTCTTCATCACCGTCCTCGTAGAACCCCAACATCCTGACACCGAGACTGATTTGCTTTGCTTGCGTTTTCAGGATCCGATTCCCATGTCCGAGAGGCCAGGTAACGAGGAGTTGCACGCTTTGCTTGGAAGTAGTGTGGATATACCGGCTCCTACAAGGGTTCTATAAAAAGGATTGTTGTAGGGTTTTTGGGCGTCAGACTTCAAGGCTTCCTGTTTGCTGGCTAGAAGCGGCTACGGTTCCAAGCCTGAGCGCGCACCTTTGCTTGTGTATGTTTACCTACGTATACCTACCTACCTCCCTGCCTAGCTACGCACACGCATACATACTTACAGACAGTACTTGCGCACGCCATTGCATACTGATGTGAATTTGCAAACACACACACACACACACACGGTGTTGCCTCGACAAAAAACAGAAGCACCTTGCGAACTGAGCTTATGGAGTTGTGCAAGACACACCTGCGGGCAGAATCATACACTAGCCTGCGGCACAGAGAACGAGAGAGACAGCTGAGAGCGGAAGAGAGTCAGAGAGGGAGAGGGACAGAGACAGAGAGTCAGACGGAGGCGAGAGGGCAAGAGAGAGGAAGAGAGGGACAGAAACAAGCGGAAAGAACAAGAGGAGCAAGAGAGTCGCGGGCTGGAACGTGTGATTTATGTTTGTGGCAACCTTTGCACACGTTTGTGCTTGCTCAGAAATCTTTGGCAATCGGAGCCTTGGTACTTGAAGTAGTAAGCATCCCTTATGCGGTGAGGCTCCAGTTCCCTGCTTGTCATCAGATACCCTAGCATCCCTTAGCCCCGAACCCTAAATCAACCCGCAGCCTGTACCTGGATTTAGGTCTAAACCCCTCACCTGCTGCTTGAGCTATGGGAAAGCTGAACTGGTTGGGCTATTTGGACAGCCCAAGGAAGTCGTGGAAACAAACACAAGCCCTGAGCCTTGGATCGTTGAACCTGAAACCCCAAACTCGACAAGTCTGCCGGAACCCCGAAATCTTTACCCGTATCAAGCCGAACAAGATCACAACCCCAAGCCACACAGTTCCGAAACCCTGTATGCGCACTTTCTCTCGATGCACCCTGTATCTAGAGGCCCTCAGCAAGAATAATCCCCATGTGAACCCTGCACCTCAACCTCGAAAACCCAGGAGCCTCTTTCCGAAGAAATCCCTATACACTCATATTCATATTCTATCAGCCCCGTAACTCCAAAAAAACCGAAACTGGCGCAACAAAAAAGTACAATATACCTCTTACAACTAAGAAAACAACATCCAGGAGGATGGCCCGCCCAGCTTTCCCCCAATGCCTGGCATCTGGGTCTTTGTTGGAAGGTCGGAGTGCTCCGGGGGTTTAGGGTTGAGGGTTTAGGGTTGAGCAGAGAGTCGGCGTTGGAGTCCTTTCGGTTTTTCCTTAAAGGTTTTATCTGGGTTTGGGGAGTTGAGGGATCGCTTCCAGGCCGCAGCAGTGAATCCGCAAAGGTACATTGCAGGCATGTTTCGCGCAGCGTTTTTCCTTTCTGGAGCTGGAGCCGAGCTTTTCGAAGCCTGGTTTTTTGGTTACCGTATCAAAGGGCAACTGCAACTTCGAAGGCTGGTTCTGACTAGCTAGAACGAAAGAAATCCCTAACAGTCCGAAGCCGAAACCCCTTATCGAGCCCGAAGTCCACTGAAGCTGTAAGGGGATTAGAATCGGGCGGCATATTATAGTTACAGATATAGTGGCTGAGAGGGTTTAGAAGGTTTTTTGGGCGGGTTTGGCGGCTGAGGGCTCATGAAGGGTTAGTGAATTTAGGAGTCAGCGTTTAGGGTGTATGCCGAGTTTTACACAAACCGCTGTGCAATCAAATCCGGCCTCGATTCGATGCCTCTGTCCCACCAAGCCTTAAACTCTCTGCACCGCAAGACCCGACACCTCCATTCCTGAGTTCTACACCCTAAAATACCCTTGCATAGGAGCCTGCAGAGGACCCTTCTATAAACTTCCAACAGAAACCTGCTACAATCAAGAAATCATAAACCCCCGTCAGGTGCCATTTCAGAGCTTAACCCCTAACCCTTAACCCCTACACCCTTAACCCCTAAACCCTAACCCCCAACCCCTAACCCCTAAACCCTAACCCCTAAACCTTAAACCCTAAACCCTAAACCCTACTCTTGCAGAGGCCCCTGGCTCAATCCCAGGTATGCCCTTCCCTGGGGGCCCGCCGCCTCCGGGCTTCCCACCCGGGGCTCCGCCTTTCATGGATCCGGCAGCTTGGTTGAGCTTTAAAGGTTCCTTTCTCTGAGGGTTTCCTTGAAGGGTTACTACACAAGGGTTCTATAAGAGTTTCAGTTTGGGGTTCATGGGTTCGCAGTTTAGGGGTTCAGGGCTTTAAGATTTGATGGCTTTGGGAAGCTCAAAGCATGCACTTTTGTCTGAGGGTCTTGCGTTTGCAGCTTCGGCTTTCCTGTGATGAGTTTGGTGCTCGGGGTTTGGGGGTTTAGGGCTTCGGGTTCCGGTTTGTTGAGTAGGACTAGGAGGCTTTCGCTGTCGGTCTTCAGTTTATGGGGTTTAGTCTACGGCGTGACGTTGCAAGCCAGTTGCGGCAGGGTGGGAGACGCTCATGACCTCAGTAGGCTTGCCAGTGTCTTGAGTAGATCCTCGCCATGGAGGTCTCGTCTCTGTTTCGTGGTCCCATGCCAGCCTGTCCTGGAGGTTTGTGCTTTTGTCGTTGCAAGGATTGGGGGGCTTAGGGTGTATGGGTCACGGTCGGTCATCAGGAACCTCGCAGTCCTACCCCATGCTCCTCGGTGTGTCGACGGGCTTACAGCTATGCCATGCCACCAGAAGGGACCTCGACACATCCCAAGCCTTACAGAACTTCGAAATGCCCACCCTGCAACCGTATGGTGGGCATGAATACTTACAATAGGGTTTTGGTGTAAACTACTGTGTTTCTTGCAAGGGCCAGTATTCGTTCATTTTTGTGACGTTAGTGCTGTGCTAATCAATCAGACCTCCACACATTATGGTGGCGATTGGTCGACCGGGCTTCTATATCAACTGCATCTTAAACCCCTAAACCTAGACACGGGAGTGTGACTGTCAAAAAACCTAG